AATTAACAAATAAAGATATCAGTGCAATGGAGCGTTTGGGTAAAGGTGTTCAGTATATTAGTAAATAATATTATTTAGTACAAGAAATTTTTGAGCGTTCTGTGTCGTTGTGGTGAATGCCTTTATTTATTATTTAATAATTTCACTTATCGTAAAAGTGAAAAACAATTGAGCGTACTAGATTTTTGAGATAAAAGCGCTCGTTTATTAATAAAGCATAATAATATGTTAATTGCGTTGAGCTTGTCATTTTTTGAAAAGTGAGAAAGAAAATTTCAATAACTTACTAATTATGTTTTTCTTTTAAGTGTTAAATAAATAATCAACTACACTTGAAAAGTTCTTACTTGATGCGGTAAATAATTTTTTAGCCATGAATGGAAGAAAAATTATCTTGGATTGTGTATTAATATTGCAAAAATAAAACTTTTTATTCACTGATAAAACAAAATACGTAAGTAATTATAAAAAAAAAAAAAACATTGAAAGTAATGTTGGAATAAATAAAAAAAAATAAAAGAAAATTTGCTCCACGTGAGATTAGAACTGGGAGCCACAAAACTAAAGTTTACCCTTGTGCTTTAGCCATCTGAGATATTAACGCTTAGGGTATGATTAGTTTAAAAGTTACATATGCTTATCGTAAAGTTTTGAAGCTTGAGCTTTAATTTAAGCTTCATCGTATTATTGCCGTTAAGCTATGTATTAATGGTGAAAAAATAAAAATTAACAAATAAAGATAACAGTGCAATGGAGCGTTCCGATAAAGGTGTTCAGTATATTAGTAAATAATATTACTTAGTACAAAAAATTTTTGAGCGTACTGTGTCGTTGTGGTGAATGTCTTTATTTATTATTTAATAATTTTACTTATCGTAAAAGTAAAGAACAATTGAGCGCACCAGATTATTGGGATAGAGGCGCTCGTTTAATCATAAATCAAAAACATATGTTAATTGCGTTGAGCTTGTCATTTTTTGAAAAGTGAGAAAAAAAATTTTAATAACTAAACAATTATGTTTTTCTTTTTGTTGTTGAATGAATGAGTAACTGCACTTAAAAAGTTCTTACTTGATGCGTTAAATAATTTTTTTAGCCATGAATAGAAAAAAAATTATCTTGGATCGTGTATTAATATTGCAAAAAAAAACTTTTTATTTACTGATAAAACAAAATACGTAAGTAATTATGAAAAAAAAAAGCATTGAAAGTAATGTTGTAATAAAAAAA